TTCTTTAATCTATAGATTTCTTGAACAGTAAACTGTTCTTTAGCCTCGCCTCGTATTAACATCCCCACAGAGTCACCAAACATTTTGCTGTCTGAAAGAAATCTGTAACCTGGGCATTTTTCACATTTTGTTGTTTTGTTTTTGTTTTTTTGTAAAAATTACCTAACTTTTCCAAAAGAGCAAGCACTACGCCTACTCCTTTTGTCCTAAGTATCACTATCAAAGTCTACAGCAGTATTCCTTTCATCATCCTTGCATGCATCAAGTTGTATTTCTGGCAGTTGTTTTGGCTTTGCATCCCTTTTTTTCATTTAGTTTCTTTTCCTCTCAACAGAGGGCGCTTTAAAAAGTGCACCATCATTGGGTTCATCTTCCATTACCAGATCACCTGTTTTGTCAATAACATTTGATGTTTCCCCCTTTTACCATTCCCGAACTTCCCATCCTAGCCTCTGCTTTATCACTCACACATTCAGCTCGTTCGCACTCGACTGCTGTGACAGCATCATTCTCCACAGCTGCTGCCTTAGCCACTGCACTAGTGTCCTCAGTCTGTTCTGGACACAAACTTCCACTTTTCATCATCTTAGAACAAACACAACATAATCAAAGCCATCAGATCTAAATGGCACATTTCCTCAATTCCGCTTTTTAGTACCATGTAAACTTGCCGTCTAAATGAGACTGTTTGAGTAAAGGGGATTTACAGCCCAATGGAACTTTTCTCATTTTGTGACGCAATTTCTCCATGTCTGGACAACTCCGTGATCAGCAACTTATCTTGGGGGAACATTGGACAAAATTATCTTTTTTTTTCCGGTTGAACTAAAGGCATTACTGGGGTAAAAGTCTCCTGTATGATAATTCTGTTTTTCACCACGCCGTTCACTTTCAGGGTTATCTAAAAAAATCACCACAGCGCTATTCATACGAGACGCTGACATTATCCTGTCGTGACTACACTCTTCCACTGAACACTTCATTGCAGGTGCAATCTTGATGCCATGACTGCCTGAGAGTTCAGAGGATGTGATAACAAACATGATGTCAGCTTAACTTGAACTGCAGCTTTGATCTCTGACCTCCGTCTCAATGATTTGAAACATTTCACACTGAGAGTTGCATCGATAGTCTTGTTGTCAAATAATATCAGTCATGTTCAATATTGGTGTCTGTGTAACAGTAAAAGTTACTTCTGAGTTCATTAGGGATGAGTTTAGTTTGGTTGAACGCTTCATTGGAGAATCTATCAGATAGTGTGTGTAGCGATCTCAGTGTGTGTGTGACAGAGATAAACAGACACATCACTGCTTGTAGTGGAAAGAACATGTTCATAGCCGTAAACAGTGAAACATATGCTCACTGCTTTTCTCGTCCTATGCGTTTGCACTCTCGTGACCTAATTACGGCGCTGCTGACGATGGTTATTTTCTCTCTCTCTCTGTTCCTCCTGTGTGTTCTTGTGTATCTGCTATTCCCAGCATGCTTTGGGAGGCTGGTAAACAAAGCCCTGTGGGAGTCTGCCTATATGCGCTCTATCTCACATCACCAAGGCAACAGAGCCGCTCCCTCCGTGAAGATGACATTTCCGGGAACTATATGAGAGTTTGTGTGCGCACGGAATTGTCTTTATGGGTTTAACATCAAGGGCAATGTTAATACTATATAGAGGAAAAGGTGTGGAGGTTTTTCAGGGAAGAACATGCGTGTTCAGAGAAAACGTGTATGAGAAGTAGTCACAAATTCCGGGGAAGTGATGATTATTTATCTTAGAAAATGTTTGTCCTCTCATTCAGATGGTGATCTGTATCTCTTCATGCATTTCTTTCTCAAACATGCATTACAGACATGCAGAGGAACTGCTTTGTTGTGTCTCTTGTGAACAACTTCAATAGTCTAGATTTGTGGTTCTCTAAAGGTTTTGCTTCAGGAGTCATGTTTTACATTGGATATCCAGTGGCAATCCAACATGGTACTATTATTGTTTATCATCAAAAAGCAGGCTTTGAAATTAAATGTTAAAATTTTTAAGTTTATAGTATGGTTATGGTTATTGTTGAGCAGGCCTTAACTATCCATTGATTCCCAGTAGGTTTCACTTTTAATAATCGGCCAATCAGCCAATGGAATTGTCAAGTTAAAACAAAATGGCCCTAAAAAGTCTAACTGACTGTGACATCACTATTTTATTTTCAGAGGCCTAGTCATGTCTTTATTCTGCTAGTGTTGCGTAATTCATTGAAATGTCATGCTCCACTTGGTATGACTTCATGGTGCTAAATCATTTACACTACACTGCAGCATTTGTGCATTATGGGAAATCATGGATGAGCCACTTTCGTCGTCTAAAACATCAACTTATCCTCAGTTACGCTATGGACATTTTAAACATTCAGTTTCTGAAAGAGAGAGGTTTTGTGAAATTGCATCCTGATTAGGAAAGAGTTTATACAGTGAATCCTATTGCTTTCTATTCCAGAGACTGTGTATGGCACGTTCTTGAGTCTCTGGGTCTTGTGATGTTTGTTCGACACGTCTCGTGACTGTCTGAGATGTGGAAACATTTTTTCCGTCTCCCTATGTGGAGAAGGAGAGAGTGAGAGAGCAGTGAATGAAGGAATGCTACGCGTGATATGCTAGACTAACCTTAGCGTCCTGTCCTGTTAGTGTGTCCGCTCTGGAAATTCCCAGGTCCTCGATTCTCTGAAAGCTCTGAGGAGGGAGATCCAGACACAGGCAGTGCTAGAAAAGGTCAGGGGCCATGTGTAGCTGGTGATGTCATGGAGAGAGCGGAAACAAGGACTGTTTATGAGTGGAGTGGTTTACTTGACAGCTTAGGAATACTCTCTCTCTCTCTCTTCTCTTCTCTTCTCTTTCTCTGCATACACACATTTAGGTACGCTGATGTAGTGACCTTATAAACCATCAACACCTGTGAGGCTGTATTAATATCAGCATAAACATGTCTCATGTTCAAGTTTTTTGGGACACGATAGTCATTTAAATATACATTTAAGTGTGTCGGTTTTGTCTTTCTAGTGGCACGAAACAGAATTGGTGAAATAACGACTTTTCAAGTCAGGTTTCCTAAATAGAAAGCCGTGTCTGCCATTGGTCAAAAAAATCTGTCTAAAAACAATGTCTGTGGTGTGGGTAAGTTAGTTATGTCAAAAAATATATAATATTGCAATTCCATTTGTTACCAGTAGTGGTGCAGAAATTACACATTTCACCTTTGAGATTGAATAGGATAAATTATTATTTTATTTTTTTGCCAAAATACCATAATTAGGCCATATTTACTTCTACTATAAATTTAAAACAAGTTAACATTGGATTCAGGATTGTTAACTAAAAGTATTACAAATTATTTTGGGTAATTGAAACAAAGCTGAAATAAAATACAAATATTAGATGTAAAACTATGGCAACTAATTGAAATACATTTTTTTTTGAAGTAAGAAAAATACTAAGCTAAAACGGAAATAAAAATAGTTAGATAAAATATAAAAATGACAAAAGCAATTAACAAAAAATACTAATAATAAAACGAAAACTGAATGTAACAATAAAAAGCTTATTCAAAATATGAATAAATACTATACCAATTATAATTAATACTGAACTTCCTCCTTTGCGTAAAGAGATTTTTAAATCTCTGTCGGGTTGTTTAATTTATTTAGGTTTATTGTAGTGAGAAGAATAATATCTATATTAAGTATGTTAAGGGAAATTAAGGGTTGTTTTACTGAAGTGAACTTGTTAGGTTTTGATATGCTAAAAAAGAAAAAAAAAGCATTGTTTTTTTCCCACTGGCACACTTGAACTGAATGGTTTTGTAATGAGATCTGGGAGAAGAGTGGCAGCATGAGCGAGATAAACTCTATAAAGAGCTATAAATCGAATTTGGGACACTTTGATTTAAACATACCATTAGGTGCCTCCAGGGAAACGCCTTTTGTCCAGCCGAGATGACAGCACGCAAGCTTCCAGATAACACTAATAGTGCACCAACTTTCCTGTGAAAAATGACTTCATGACTTTATCTTTACATTCAGCGTTAAGTGAGAAGAGAGAAGTGTTGACTACAGACTGAGAAAATGCCTTTGATTAAACGCCCTCTGTAAGATTGCTTGTTAAGCAACCTTTAATTAGACTAACGAAGAAGGCGATAATTAAAGTTGCTCTCGCCTCAGGAGCTGAGACGTACAACCCCGCGCCACAACATGTGACTTCCTGTCACTCACACCTCTGGTTAGACTGGTGATTTTGAATCACCTGACAACTTTTTATACAAAAAGTCACACGGGTGGCACATTTTAAAATTAGAAGGTTTTGATTATGAGAAAGTTATCACTTTTATGCTGCTGTGTGCTAACTTACACAAGAATGCAGTAAGTCGAGAGTGACTATATTTATTTGTGAAAACGACTACTATATTTTCACTCCAAGTCTTTACTCCCAGAATTGAGATGGGAAACATAGTGGTATCCATTGCAATGCAGCAAGCAACATGTTTAGAAACACAATATTAGCAACACAGCAAACATATTTTCTGTATAAAACTGCTTTTATATATTCTCTGCACCGTAATGTGTGTAGAACCTATGGTGGAAAGATTTTTTTTTGATAAAGGGTGGTTGTTGACACACTGCTGACACACATTTATGTTTAATCACAAAGTAAAAGTGAATTTTGTGTAATAGGTCCCGTTTAACAAAACAATAACTTTTGAATGGTAGTGTAGAAAACTTATATCAACAGTGAACCATATACATGAGAGTTTGAAATCTTTAAAGTTTGGTTTTGACATTAATAACTAAACAGACATGCACATTGAATAAGCTGACAGAAGGCCTGTGTAAAGGTATTTATATGCAGTGAAAATCATACTATGTATGTGGCCTCTGATATCTCCTGTTCATCAAAGAATTTTATAAATGTACAGGAACAGAAATCTCAAACTGTTTTTCACTTGACTCTTTCTCTCTGTCTCTCAGGTTGTGGTAACAGTGCTCTGAGCTATGATATGTACCAGGCCGGCTACACCTCCATCACTAATGTGGATTACTCCAGTGTTTGTGTGGAGAGCATGGCGGAGAGGCACAAGGACTGCGCTCAGCTCAGCTGGTTGTGCATGGACGCCCGTCGACTGGCCTTCTCTGACGGTGTGTTTGATGTGGTTTTGGAGAAGGGAACTCTGGACGCCATGCTGGTGGACGAGACCGACCCGTGGAAGGTCTCCGAGAAGGCGGCCCGACTGCTGCACCAGGTTCTCTTAGAGGTGAGGAACGACAGTGTAACATTTTGACTTTGAGGGGCTTTAGCTGTCTGAATTCTGGAGACTATTGGGTTCTAGATGGATAAAGGTGAAGAATGCAATTTCTTCATTGCTAGTGGCAGAAAAACACAATTGTTCTTCCAAACTGGTGGTCCTTCCCCAAACTAACACCATTGGATGAGCCAAGAGTTCCTGTTCCCCTCAAGCAAAAAAGATTAAGCACAATCCATGCTTTACCTTTTTACAGGCTTAAGTTTGCTTATGTTTAAAGGGTTAGTTCACCCAAAAATGAAAACTATGTCATTAATGGCTCTCCCTCATGTGGTTCCAAGCCCGTAAGACCTCCAGTCATCTTCGGAACACAGTTTAAGATATTTTAGATTTAGTCAGAGAGTTTTCTGTCCCTCCATTGAAAATTGTATACTTCCTGCTCGAGAAAGGAAATACAGACATCATTTCACATATGCTGAGGAGAAGCATTTCACGTATGCTGTATGAGTACATTTTTACCTCTTAGGTAGAAATTAATTCCACTCTTCGAAATTTGAAGAACTTCCACATCTGTCACATCCCTTAATGAAGATTAGAGGAAAGGAAAATCACAGTACAGATGCCATGCTGACTCATGCTCAGTGACATAAGGGGCCACAGATGTAATGTGTTTTTCCCTTTTATCCTTAAATGATTGATTTAAACCTTGTGTTATTAAACTCACAGGTGCTAAGTGGCTTTCACTCAATCCCACAGTGCACTACTACAAGAATTATTCATCAGATGTCTCAGTGAGTGCCACGCAGCATAAGAGCAACCCTGTGTTTTTTTATTTATTTTTTTTTTTTTGCGTGTTAAAGGTCTACTAATAGATGTTTTGACTCATAGGAAATATTTCCGTACAATCTAGCCTTTCATCACAGCAGAAATCACAGTGCCATTTATATTTAATCTCTTTCTCTCATGTTAATAGTGTAACAGTCAGTTCAGTTTCCTCTCCTCATAGTTTATTCATCAGTATGTCAGAGCAGCACAGATTAGGCTGGCAGTCTGATGTGTGTGTGTGTGTGTGTGGTCTGGTAAACCCTATATTATCGGGACGAAATGTCCCCACAAAAATGGCAATATCCTTGTCCTTGTCCTTGTGGTGACATTTTTGGGCACAAGTTATAAATCATATTAAGTGATGATTTTTAACAATGTAAAAATTCAGAAAGTTTTCTGTGATGGTTAGGGTATAGAATATACAGTTTGTACAGTATAAAAGCATTATGTCTATGGAAAGTCCCAAACATGAAAGCTGTTTTATGTTGCCAGTTATGAAGAAACAATGTCCTCTCTTCCTCTATTCTAGTGTTTGTGGTAATTTGCAGCTTTAGGTATTAACTCGGAGTGGATATCAGTGTGGATGAGTCCAGATGTGGAAAGGAAAATAAGTTACATATTCTGTTATGTTTTCAAACAAATTGTTAATCTGATTGTGCCACTCTCCAATCATTGATGTGGGTTTTTAGGTTAGCCTCTGCACATTTAAGCTGGGAAAAGTGAAAGTAATAATAATATTACACACTTTACATTTAGAAATGCCATTATTAACAGATTACTGGTAGAACAAAATAATATATATGGGCTTTTTTTTAAAAGCTTTATAAAGGCTCCACTTCAGCTTCATGCACAAGATTAAAAATAAATTAAAACCTAAACTCTGAGCTGAGCCTCGCAATAGTATTATTGCCTGGCCAATATTAGTCATTGATTAAAGTTTAAAGTATATTAAATCCACTGACAGGTGAAAAATATCAAGTCTGAATCTGATATCACTACTTATGATTTGTGCTCATAATAAAAGTTTTAAAAAGTTCAAATGAGAAAGGAAAAGGAAGTAGTTTGAGTTAGATCTAGTTTTACAACAGGACGATTCATAAACTGGAGATCTTCTATATATATATATATACTGTGTTACTGTAACCACTGTGTCTATGAGCATGCTGACATACTAAATGTCACACAATAAATATATAATAAATATGTATGTATCTATATATATAATAAATATGTATCTATCTATCTATCTATCTATCTATCTATCTATCTATCTATCTATCTATCTATCTATCTATCTATCTATCTATCTATCTATCTATCTATATATATATATAATTTTATACTATAAATATTATATTACATACACTAATATATTAAATTCTATATAATGTAGAAATTGTATTGTATTTTAATTGTATATAATACATGTATTTTACATTTATAAGAAAAATGATACTACTATGTTATTATTACTATTGTATTGTGTATATAATATTATATTTTAAATATTAAGATTTTATTTTGTATATCATTTATATTTATAAATTGTATATAATAGATAATCATTTTTAAATATATACTGCTCTGAAAAAAATGCATTTAAAAATAATTCACTAATTCACAATTCAAATTTGTGTACATTTCACAAATAATTACAAAGAAGTACAAATAAGTCACACTATTAAATCAAACGTTAGATTTGGAACTAGAAAGATTGAAGTTGTATTTTCTTGTAAAATGTACTACAATAATCTTTGGTTTTTTTTACAACTTTTTGAAAGACAATTTAGAAAAAGCATTAGTAAAATAATGTGCTGTTGATGTATTTGAAGAGTCTTTAATGAATATTGGCTCAAAATCAGAACTGTCCTCATGACACACACAGACAAACACACACACACACACATTCTTAACAATCTGACACATCAAAATACTCTTAAACACTTGAAAACATGAAAACATCATAATCTCTGTCTCTCTCACACACACATGTAGGTGTGAAATTTATTTTTCAGCCTGACACACTCCATGAATCACCTACACCCGTTTCCATAGAAACGCTGTCCGCACACACAGGACTCCCTCCTCAAACATGCGCACACAGACACAGAGATTGCTTCGGTGAGTGTCACACTCGCCTGTGGTGAAGAAGTGAGATATTTGTCTGATATTGTGTAGATTCACTCTGCTGACCCTTACAGAGTAAACAAGTCTTCAGTCCATCTGTCTCGCATGTTGACTGGCTATCTAGTTATCTGAACAAGGACTCACTTGTTTAGATTTATTTGTTTTTTATATAAAGCTAATTATATTTACTATAGACAAACCTACACCATAGAATCTTGTATTTTTACACCAGACAGTCTTTACAGGACCCACCTGAGTTTGCTCGTTTGTGTGAAGTTGACTGGAATCTAGTCTTGTACTTTCTGATGTTTTGGCACATGAATGCACAGGTTTGCATTCATATATCTATATAAAGTATGGAAGCGTAACTCTGACACAATTATGATTTATTGCTGTATTGGTTCTTCTGTCGCCATTTTTCAAACAACACCTTATGTAATATTTTGGGGTCATTTGCAAAACTCATTTGCTTTGCCCTGATGATAATATATTTTTAAATATTAAAATTCAAATGTAACCTTGCATGTTGTTCATTAAAATGTTTATTTATATTATACAATACAGTACAATTTACTGTTATTATGTGTCATCCTTTCATAATGTCAAAGAAAGGCATCTGTGTTTTATTATTGTTATTATTTTATCCATCCACACGCATAGCACTCAGGAAAATAGTCTGGGCTCTGGAGTGAAATAGAGTGCAACAGTGAGATTTCGGAAGAAAAAATGTGTGAAAACTGAGTTTTAATAATAACTTATAAACCTTTAAAGACCGCTTTACTGAGAGCTACGAGGTTGTAAATTGATAGTATTTGCCTCTGTCAACCTTCATTATTTCAACTTAGCATTAAAATAATCGTTTAAAGGCGGAATTCGTGGTGAAAACTACATTACCCCTGATGCTGTACTGAAAATTTAACCAATCAGTGAGTCGAAACTAGCAAAGCTTATTGCCAAAAGATCTATTTAGTCCGCCCTTTCCCATGAAGCACCACAAATGACAATCAAGCCAGTTTCCCTCTCTCAAAATACTTAAATATTTGAATATGTATTTAATTTGAATGTATATTTAAATCGATCATGCTGTTTGCAGTGCTTCATGAGATTGTAGTTCTTTCCCTCACTAAAGCCATTAAGTACACCATCTTGTAGCTTTGTGTTTTTGTCCAGTTTTTAAATACTTTTTTTTTGCTTCAAATCAAAGTTTGTAATGTTTTCATTCACCTTTGCTGGTTGACTTTGTTCATGGTTTATAACTCTTTAACTAAGACTTTTTTGAAATCCTTATGGGATAAATGAATGGAACAAATACTTCCAGAAGCAGCGCTGCTGAAAAGTGGGCTGGCACTGATGCACACTGTAGAATAGAATACAATAGAATGGAATAGCATTCCAATTAAGTGAAGAAATCACTTTCCATGAAAGGATCGGATGCACAATCAAACTATAACTTTAATGTATCAGATATATACCATTAGTTTTTCCTGTGATTTGCATGAGACACACTCAGGGGTCAGGAGTAGTCCAGAAGTTCAGTGCTATCTTGAAGAAAGTCTCAGACACATCTGACTGGTCAAAAAACCTCCTCTCTAAGGGCTCAACCTTTATATGTGGAAGTGGAGAAAGATGCCCACACACACTCAGTCTCTTACATTACTTTTGTTCTCGTCTTTGGTCTTAGCTAATACCTAAAGCTTCCTAATTACAATGCCTAAGGCCAGGTAACATAATATTTCAACAGAGAGAGAGAGACAGAGAGAGAGATGGAAGCAGCTGAGGAGGGAGACTGCGGATTGGATGGTTAAATTGCACATCAACTCTCATTTTCTGTCTGCTTGTTTTCTTCATTTTCCCTATCCTTTCTTTGCCCTCCGGCTCTTATGCTCATTGGAAAAAGGAAACGAAAGAAAGAGTAGAAAGCCAGGATCAAGAGGATGAGAGTCTTATCAGATTTCTTCACTTTAAATGACTGTGTTCCTGCAGTCAGTTGATTATAATTTTTAATCAAATGAATTACGTGATATGCAGATAATTGCAATTTATTGCATATGTCAATATTA